TTTTCATTTCAAGATGATTGTGAAGAGTGCCCACAACCGACTGTAAACGACTTTGTATGCGGCACAGACGGAACGACATACAGCTCTGCTTGCCTTCTGCGCAAACTCAGTTGCATAAATGGTATCCGCCTTATTATTGCACACAGGGGCCGATGTTATAACGATACAGTCCAACTGCCGACACCTAACAAAATTGTAGGCCCAAATGGAATCCCTTTAGGCCGACTTGATACAAGAAGTAAGTCACTAAGCAACTAAAATTGTATTCTATTGCTTTCAATGAACTTCTGTAAATAATTAATGTTAATTTAATAACATTTACATCCTTCCTGTAAATAACTGCAGTCTCCTTTTAGATTATTAGATTATTATGATTAATTTTAACAATTGATCTAATCTCATTATGTAGCAAACAAAATTAATTGGTGTCCCTAATTGGTTTAGCCTAAATTGATGTACTTGACTTGATTTAGACCGGTATATTGTGCGTAGACATAAACTGTTTAAATGATGTTTTCAAATATCCAGTCATAATCATTATTTTCTCTTTAAAAAGACACGTGACACTATCCTTGAAATCAGTAATTTCTAGTAAAATAGAAACCGTGACTTCACATTTTTGGAAATCATTGTTTTAAATATAGCTGTACTATATAATAGGACATCACTCCGCTAATGCCCTGAATACCATATCCTAACCAAACGATGTTAATAATAATAATGATAATAATTATTAAGAATAATAATAATAACAATAATAATAATAATAATATCAACAATAATAATAATAATAATAATAATAATAATAATAATAATAATAATAATAAAATTGATTATGATGTTGATGATGATTATGATAATGATGTAAAAATGTAAATAGCGCCTTTTGCCAGAGGATAAAAGGCGCTTATATCGGGGCTAGTTACTCGACCAAAGACTCTCTTCGCCCCTGCTAAGGGGCCCTTGGTGTCGGTGCTACCCGATAACCCATACCAACAACTTTCGTCGTCCACCACAAGGGTTGTCTGTACCAGTACGAGACCCTACTCGTCTCGAATGATGTACTGGGTTCTTTATAGTGTACACGAGCCATTGTGTACACTACACTGGGCCTACGGTTTATCTCCTTATCCGAGAAGACTGTTCTAACACCAGAACCATAGGCGAGCGTGCCGTTCGAACAAGCGTCGATATTTTTTCCTGCCTTAAGCGCTCGGCCATTCGACTAGCCAAACGACCCCTACACGAATTAGCACCCTGTAGTAGGAACGTTACTCCATTAAGAGCCGCTTAACCTATTTTAACCTAACTGTACAGGGTAGGGGCGTTACGCCACTAAGGTTTAAATGACCAGCATACCCTTATCAAACCGAGCTATGCATTTATGGGGTAGACACCTTGCAATGTCCTAATAACCTTACGCACTTCCCACCATAATTGATCAATGCATTGATATAACAGATTTCATGCAATACAAAATTATCTTATAATTTAGCATTATTATTAAGACAGCGACTTTAAATGTTTAGTAAACCGTGTTTATCACAATATATATATATAAACATATATATACATATATATATATATATATATTCAATATACGAAGTAAAATTATCTTAAATTTAGCATTAATATTAAGACAGCGACTTTAAATATTTAGTAAACCGTGTTTTTCACAATATATATATATATATATATATATATATATATATATATA